GTTTGTGACTAAAACATTTCTGGTGATAGACTACAGAGGTGACAGAGAACAAAGGAGAATGAATCTCAGCCAATGTCACCCAGAAAAATGGTATCACTATGAGTATATGCAGCAAATGGTGGGAACCAGGAGGAGGGATAGAGTAGGGGAAAGAAGAAGATTTTCAAACAGCAATGAACTGTGATAAGCAAGGAGGAGGAGAATGGAGGGGGTAGCATTGCCAGTTCTTTACCATCAGAACCCCCACACCCTTGGCAAGGAGAAGGCCAAGTGAATCTCCTAGAACAGATCCTAAGCAAATCAGACTAAGTACAATTTTCCAGGCTATCGCGGTAGATTTCAATTGTTTTGAAATGTGCCCAACGGTACCAGGTGGAAGTGAAGTTTGTGAGTTTATCTTGAAAGATATGTAAAAGTTCTTCCATTTGTTGGACTATTTTTTTTAACCCTGTTGAACCATTCCCTTATAGTTGGAACTTGTTTAGATCTCCAATGTAAAAGGATGCCTAGCCTAGCCGCATGAACCATAAACATGGCCAGAAATTTAAAGTAAGACTTTCTAGATAGGGAAGTACATACAGTGACGTCCACTAGCAAAGGACCACCATATGTGTATCACAGAGCCAAGATCGAGTTCACATCTCCAGCAACAATTATTATTATTATTATTACATCGCGTTTATATAGCGCCAAAGGGTTTGCTCAGCGCTGTACAATAGGGGGACAATACATGGCACAGTACAACAAAAACAGACAGCGTACGAGGGGTAAGAGGGCCCTACTCTTTCAAGCTTACAATCTAGGAGGGAGGGGGTAGTGGAAAAATAGGATGTGGCTGAGGGGAATGAAGTGGCTGAGGGGGATGAAGTGGCTGAGGGGAATGAAGTGGCTGAGGGGAATGAAGTGGCTGAGGGGGATGAAGTGGCTGAGGGGGATGAAGTGGCTGAGGGGGATGAAGTGGCTGAGGGGGATGAAGTGGCTGAGGGGGATGAAGTGGCTGAGGGGGATGAAGTGGTGGGAGGAATGAGGGAGAATGGCCGTTAGGTGAGGGTGGGGTAGGCTTCCCTGAAGAGATGGGTTTTGAGGGAGCGCCTGAATGTGGGGAGGGAAGGCGACAGTCGCATGGATTGGGGCAGTGAGTTCCAGAGGATAGGGGAGGACCTGGAGAAGTCCTGCAGTCTTGCATGGGAGGAGGAGACCAGGGAGCAGGATAGAAGGAGGTCCTGTGAGGAGCAAAGGGTACGGGTAGGGTGGTACTTAGGGATCAGGTTGGTGAGGTAGTCAGGGGCAGTGTTATGAACGGCTTTGTAGGTCAGGATTAGAAGTTTAAATTTGATGCGTTGGGCAATCGGGAGCCAGTGGAGGGAGAGGCAGAGGGGGGTGGCAGAGGTGGAGCAGCTGGTGAGGTGGATGAGTCTGGCCGCTGAGTTCAGGATGGTTTGGAGCGGGGAGAGCCTGCACTTGGGTAGGCCAGTGAGAAGAGAGTTGCAATAGTCAAGGCGTGAGATGATGAGGGAGTGTACGAGAAGTTTGGTGGTGTCTGGGGTGAGGAAGGTACGTATCTTGGCAATATTGCAGAGATGGAGCCTGCAGGTGTTTGTAAGTGATTTGACATGAGGCAGAACGATTGGGGACTTATGCAACAAGGTCGGGGGCCTGTACCACTCGGATCGGATTTCAAACCCAATTGAATCGCCACACTTAAGGAGCCCTTAGGTATTAATTAACTTCCAGTCTTCCTCTGAGAGGTCAATGCCTAGACTTTCCAAACTATTACATTATAGCCAGCAGAATTGTGCTTATCATTACACTTTTAATTTCACAATACCCTATTTCTCCACATTTCTCTGCTATATTTTGTTCAGTGTATACAATTTGAAATGTAAAGTTGCAATGTTAATGTGAAAAAATAAAATGTGAAACTCAGACAGATTGGTAGGAAGAAAGCTAAATCTTTTTAAAACAATGGATCATTTCTAGTTTAGTAAAGAATACATTATCAGAAAATATTTTGTTAAAAAAGAAGGCAGGAAATCTTCATAACTAGTGAAGTTGCAGACAGACAAAACAGTTATTGAGGCGTTTCCGCCTTTGTCAAAAAAGGATAAAATATATGCAAAAGCTGTTGTAAAAAATGCAATAGGCCCCAAAAACTATTTACTGCACACTCAGTACTTCTAAGTCTGGATGAGAAAAACACAAACTCGTTTCAGAGAACCTGTTTGTCCACATATACCTTTATCTTTCTAATTCTGCAGGCTGCCATGAATAAAAAAAAGATGAGATTTCAAAAGCTCTTTAGTTTCAATTTGGGGATAATGGGGAGCTATCATGCAAATACAGACTACCAGGGGTGGACTGACCATTTGGAAACTCGGTTACTGCCCGAGGGCCCGGGGTCAGTAGGGGGCCCCATGAGGTGCCCCTGGTAGCTTTTTCATAGGCTTTTTTGAGTTTGGGCAAGGACACAGGGACCCCATGATCCCCTATTGCCCGGGGGCCCCATGAGTCGTCAGTCCGCCCCTGGTGGGGAGGTTGAAGCTGCATCAATATGTAGATTCTCATAGCAAAGTAGTTAAATAAGTAAATGTCTACATGTGGATGGAGAAGGCTGATTAGGGAAAATTTCCCTGGTGTTCATCAAGAACATTGCTCCTGCAGTTGTTCAGATGCCAGAAATAGGAATGCTTATTTTGCAGTTACTTTTTTGAAGCAGGGTGCTAAGCCTCTTTTTTCAGATGTTGACTGATAGGGGCATAAACATGTCTAATGGGAAATAAATTGTGTGCCAATTTAGAATAATACAAACATATAATGAAAATATTTGTGCCACTTTCTATTCTAAGCATTCCCCATATTTGTGTGTGTAGATGAACTTCAAAATATATGTAAAATGTGTTTTAACTACATTAATAGATTACATTTACTTTCCTTTTTTTCACAAAGCTTCTGAAATTAAAGACAGGCATTCTTGCAACTCAGGGAAAGGAGATGTTGTGGACATCATGGATCATGACTCCGGGAAGTCTGCCTGCATAAAAGACTGACATTGATGGTGCAACCAATGTGCAGCTGTTCGAGGCCAGGATCTGTACTCTTAAATGTTTCATATATTTCACTTGCTTGAACCCTTCTTACCTTTTTTGCAGCATTGTTCTCAATTCACACCACCTGCCAAGTGAATCCGGCATTGTCCTACTGAGATCTGTTTGAGTATCTCAGCATTGGTCCAGTGCCATACTGGTCCTCAGTCTTCCAAATTCAGACAGCTAGCACCAAGTGATGAGCTCAGCTCCCTCCACCAGCCTCTGTGTGTTCCTACTCCTGAAGCCTTGTGTAACAGGAATATCCCAGGAGGCTGAAGGAGCAGAGACATGTCTTGCCTAGAGAGGAGGCTGGAGTAGCATTAAAAAAGTAAACAAATTGAAAATGATTGTCCTTTTCAAATGGCGAAGGATGCAATGGGTTAAAGTATGATTTTAGGGCAAAAACCCACTTTAACAGTAAAAATAAGGTAGATTCAATTCTTTGTGGTGTTATTTTTTTTTTTTTAACTCAGGCCCCTTTTTATAAAAAAAAAAAAAAAAAAAAGTTTTAATCACATGAAAGGAGTTTATTGTATATCAGCTTTTTGTACTTTCAAGAAAAAGTTTTAATTTTTTTTTTAATCTTTACTGAAGGCTGAATAGATTAGGTTAACTGACCTTTCTGTGGGGGTGTGTTCAAAAACTACAAAGTGGAAAAAAAAAAAAAAAGTCAGCAAGGTTCTTCTGGCAAGCGGATTCTGTTTTTGTGACACTCATTTTGATTACAGAAGTGTTTTTGATGTTTATTTTCCATCTAGCTTGAAAGGTTAGCGGTTTGGCTTGCCTGAGTACAGATAGGAATTACAAACAAGTAAAAGGAACTTTTCTAATAACTTTTTTAAACAGACATAGGGGAAGATTTACTAAAACTAGTTCACTTGCCCCTGGTTCACAAAATATGCGGCCGTGTGGGCCGTGTTTTGCGCAGGCATGAGAGCCCATTCATTTGAATGGACTCCCGTGCCCCATGACACGCAGGGAAGAAGTCCATGGACTTCTGAAAACACAGCCCGCATGGAAACCTCGGTTCCCACTACTGTTGTGTTTTCCAGTGCGGGCGGCGTGCAATTAAAACTAATGGCACCCGCCCGCGGTCCACATTCCTCTGTGAGGGTGGTGAGGCTGCATGATTTTCATGTGCACCACCCACACAAGTGAACCTAGCCTTAGAAGCTGATAGAATGTGGTGCAGCTGTGCATTGTAGTCAAACATCAGCTTGTTCAATTAAGCTTTGACAACAAAACCTGAACGCTGATTGGTTTCTATGCAGAACTGCACAAGATTTTGCACCATGCAATTTTAGTGAATAACCCCCACCTTACTCATGAAATACAAGTGACAGTGTCTTTGCAAAGAACATTCCCCGACACCATAAACTCACCTTACATGCGAACACTGCCAGCTTCCTGCTCCTCTTGGTAAACTTCCCCAGTCATGTGACCCACCCCCCCTCTCCATCATGACCAACAACGCCACCATCAGTCCCACCCCCGCAAGCCAAAGTCCTAGGTGTCACTCTAGACTCAGACCTGTCCTTCCAACCCCATGTCCAATCATTGGCAAACTCTTGCAGGCTCCACCTCCGCAACATCTCCAAAATACGTTCGTTCCTAACCCCAGACACTACTAAACAACTCATCCACTCCCTTATTATCTCACATCTGGACTACTGCAACTCCCTCCTCACCGGCCTCCCTCCTCACATCTATCCCCGCTTCAGTCTATCCTGAACTCAGTGGTCAGACTCATCTACCTTACAAAAACGCTCAGTATCCGCCACCCCCCTCTGTCATTCCCTCCACTGGCCTCCACTCAGTGTCCTCCACCCCCCTCTGTCATTCCTTCCACTGGCCTCCACTCAGTGTCCTCCACCCCCCCTCTGTCATTCCCTCCACTGGCTCTTGATTGCCCAACGCATTAAATTCAAACTACTAACACAGACATACAAAGCCATTCATAATGCTGCCCCAAAACTACCTCACTGACCTGATACCCAAATACCACTCAACCCGTACCTTCGCTCCTCACAAGACCTCCTACTTTCTAGCTCCCTGGTCTCCACCTCCCACGCCCGACTGCAGGACTTCTCCAGGACTTCCCCCATCCTCTGGAACTTACTACCCCAATCCATCAGACTGTCACCTACCCTCCTCACCTTTAGGCGTACCCTGAAAACCCATCTCTTCAGGGAAGCCTACCCCTCCCTCACCTAACAGCCGATCTCCTCCTACCACTCCATCCCCCACAGCCACCTCCTCCTGTACCACTATCCCCTCCCTCCTAGGATTGTAAGCTCGAAAGAGCAGGGCCCTTGAACCCCTCGTGTTTTGTTACTGTATTGTCTCATGTTCTGTCCCCCACTATAAAGTACAGTGCTGAGCAAACCTTTTAGTGCTATATAAATACTGTATAATAATAATAATAATAATAATAATGTGAGAGTGCTCAAGTCTAGTGATTGGCTGCTAGGCTTGGGCACCATTTCAGGGGGCAGGTCACATGCTCCTTTATACCTGGAAGTGTAAAAAGGAGGTTGCAAAGGAGGATGGAGCTGAGAGGAAGCACAGGCCAAGTAATTAAAAGGGGGGTCCTTTGCAGAGTCACTGTCACTGTACCCTGCATGGACAAGGTGTCAATAAAACTGCAATTGCAACAGAAAGCTTATTAGAAGAACATTTAGTTTGCTTTTTTTTTTTTTTTTCTTATTTTATTGATTTTCTTGATGATTCATGCAGACTAGAACAAAGTTTGATATCTGAGAATATTGCAAAAGCCTAAAAACTGTATGTGGTATGTTTTCTGTTTATTTCATAGCAACGTACAATGACATTAAATTACAAACAGCTGTGACTTAGTTGTTTACTGTGCCTGATCTGTCACTATATCTATCATCAACCTAGTTTTGAAAGTCTATGAGTCTTTGTTCCAGCATATCATCATCATAACCTTTTAAAAGGTTTTTAGTTAAGTTCTTTCATAAAAGAAAATGAGTTATGTGTCCTTGGGGTCTGACATACTTATATAATGCATCCTGTCTCCCGTGCTGCTCAAATTGAGGACATACAGTGACGTGGGTACAGCCGCAGTCAGGCAGCTTGAGTAAGATGTGCGCTGGAGCAGAACGGTGAATGCTCCAAAAAGGCTTTTTAGTTTTATTCAGTTTCTGTAAAAAGCTTAAACCCATCATAGCACTGAAGATAGAGACAGATGTGAACTATGTGCATGAGGCAAAAAGCATGCAAGTTGACAACAGTGATTTTTATATTTTTACAAATGTTACTTCTTTGCAACCTACAGTGAGGAACAGAAGAAGTATTTGAACACCGTGCAATTTTGCAAGTTCTCCCACTTAGAAATCATGGAGGGGTCTAAAATTCACATTGTAGGTGCATTCCCACTCTGAGAGACAGAATTAAAAAAAAAAAAAAAATTCAGGAAATCACATTGTATGATTTTTAAAGAATTTGTCTTGCACTGCTGAACAGAAGTATTTGAACACCTAAGAAACAGCAAGAATTCTGGCTCTCAAAGACCTGTTACTGCGCCTTTTAAAAAGTCCACCTCTACTCCACTCATTAATCTAACTTAGTAGCACCTGTCTGAGCTCTTTAAAGACACCTGTCCACCCCAGTCAGACGCCAACTATTACCATGGGCAAGACCAAAGCGCTGTCAAAAGATTCATAATCTGCAATAGGCAAGCAGCTTGGTGTGAACAAATCAACTGTGGGAGCAAGAATTAAAGAATGGAAGACATACAAGACCACTGATAATCTCCCTCCATCCACACAAGATCTCCCCCTGTGGGGTCAAAATGATCACAAGAACGGTGAGCAAAAATCCCAGGACCACACGGGGGGACCTAGTGAATGACCTGCAGAGAGCTGGGACCAACGTAACAAAGGCTACCATCAGTAACACACTACGCCGCCAGGGATTCAGATCTTGCAGTGCCAGACGTGTCCCCCTGCTTAAGCCAGTACATGTCCGGGGCCCGTCTGAAGTTGCTAGAGAGCATTTGGATGATCCAGAAGAGGATTGGGAGATGAAACCAAAATAGAACTGTTTAGTAGAAACACAACTCGTCGTGTTTGGAGGAGAATGCTGAGTTGCATCCAAAGAACACCATACCTACTGTGAAGCATGGGGGTGGCAACATCATGCTTTGGGGCTGTTTCTCCGCAAAGGGACCAGGGTGACTGATCCATGTACAGGACAGAATGAATGGGGCCATGTATCATGATATTTTGAGTGCAAACCTCCTTCCATCAGCAAGGGCATTGAAGATGAAACGTGGCTGGGTCTTCCAACATGACTATGATCCCAAACATACCGCCCGGGCAATGAAGGAGTGGCTTTGTAAGAAAACCTTTGGAGGGAGTTGAAAGTCCGTGTTGCCCAGCGACAGCCCCAA